TATAGATAGATAGATAGACATATATTTGTATTGAAAACATTTTCTGTAAGGGATATATAGTTATTAATAACTAAAAGAAGTGCAGTAGTGGTATTTCAGAGTTTCAGAATTGGACAGCAAGTGCAATTGTGCTAATCAAGATGAATTTAGAAATTAGGTTATCATAAACAAGTCAAACACCTGTTTGGGAAAATCAGTTAGGCAAGCTTTTGTATATAAATGGTCAAGGAATAAGAACAACAGTGAGATGAATGAAGAGGGCAAGAGGTGGAAAATGCAGGCAAGAATCAAATGAATATCCTGCAAAATTAAGAAAGAGGGAACGGGTGGGTGGGAAGGGATGGGTGAGAATATTGAAAGAGGTGACATTGATCAAGATACATTGTATTCACAACTACTTTGTTAAATGACAGCTTCTTTGGATAACTACTTAAAGATTAAGAAAAACACACAAAAAACGGTGAGATAATGATGCTTGGCCCTGGTGGTTCATATCTCTAATCCTTGCTTATTCTTGAGGCTGAGCTCCTGAGTAGCATGGTTTGAGGCTAGCTAAGCAAGAATATTTCACTAAGCTCTCTTTTAAACATAACCAATAAAATGCAGGGTGAATATGTGGCTGGAGTGGTAGAATACCAGATTAGTGAGCATAAATCCTTGAGTTTAAACCTCAGTACCAATAATAGCAATAGCAAAAATGGGTAATCATCCTGAGTCATATGAATCTGTCACAAGAGGAGCAAAGTGAGAGGAAAGTGGAACAAAGTGACATAGCTGGATGAATTTAAGCTTTCGTCAAATACTTACTGAAACCAATCAGGTCATTTTTTAAGAATGAATAACATAATTCAGTCTGATATCTGTGAACTATGTACTTTGTCCAGTTAGGTGATAAGTGTTTTCAGGAGTAATGGGATCTGTTGAATAGATTTCATGGGTTAATAGTGAGAAAACATTGTTCATGATGGGTTATTTATTACTAGAGTATATGGTAGTTGTTGGAGTATTGAATATTTTCCCCTTGTGTCTCTGTTTTATGGTCCTTCCTTATCACATAAGATATAACAGTGTGCATCTTGATGATAATGCTTACAGCCCCACAAGGCTTAGGTATATTTTAGCTCCATTTTCTCTTTTATATATTAAGTAAATAGGGTAAAAAATACTAGGTTACTCAAATGAAGCGGAAGACAGCAAATTCACTAATCTTTGAATTTCATTGTGTTGAATGGTTTTGGAATTCTTTAAGCAAATTATGATTCAAATCAACATTCAGTATGAACCAAAACAATTGAAACACGTCTGTAGATACTACCCCAGTTGCATAAAATAATGTTAATGTTCTTGCAGCATTAAACCATTTGGGTTAGACAATTATAGTAGCAACATACTCATACTTTGAGTAAAATGGTAAGCTAATGAGATAGATGTTAATTTGAATTTCGAAGACATTTTAAATATAAGTTTCTTTTACAGAGACAAAAATTACAATTTGAAGCCTTCTGGTGGTCTAAAAACAGCTTAATTCTGTAGTAGCTTGGTAATAAGTACTAATCCAGCTTATGCAGTGATTGTAGTATGTCATGTTTGTGAAAGATTGCTCAACTGCTTTCTCTGGGTTTTATGTTAATTTAAAAATATTAAACATAAAACCTTATAACATCTTCATGCTGAGATAAACTGTTCAATTTAACTTGTGCTCAAGCAGCAGCTGTCAGGAATTATCTTGTTCCTAGTGGTTTTTGCTGTCACCTTGTGCCCTTTGCTGCCAGAGACACACTGTAGGGTGATAAAGCACACCTTGTTAGGATTTATTGCGTAAATAATAGCAGAGGCATGGTGAACACTGGAAGCTTAGGGGTTAGCTGATGGTTGAGAGATGCCATTAATGGTATAATTATCAACTTTTAAAATCTGGTGATCGGGAAGAAGTAAAAATTGCCTGAAGATAGGTAATTCCTGAAATCCTTTCAGTGGGAATGCTCAATGCTTCTTTTGGGATATCGAGCTAAAGATTTGAGAAATTACTCATTTACCAGTTTTACTTAGAAATGAATAAACAAAGAGGAAATAATTTTTAGCAATAATAGAGATAAACAAGGGCTGATTCAAGTTTGTCATAAAATATAATTAATTATCTTTTAATGATTAAATCGTAGTATTGCTATAGGCAGTCAATCGCAAATGGTGAATTTTATGAACATCATTTTCATTTTTCTTCTAAATATATTGCATTCTATTTTGGTAGTTGTTTTGAAGTTTCACCTTTCAGTTTAGATTTTTAAATTATGAATCAGCTGGTGGATGAGCTGAGACCAGAGCGTCTAGTCAGAGTGGAATAAAAGTATGGTCTTAGATAAACAGTTACTTCAGATGGTTCACCATCAAGAACATCTTCATGTAGGAAATTGACCATTGAATGATGACCTAAAATATGTACATGATGCATTTTTTGTTTATGGAATGTAGAATTTCTTTCCTTCCATTTACCACCATTTCATTCCTGTTCTCACAAATCTATACATATATTGATTTGTACCTTGCCAAAATTTTACCATAAGACTTTTTTTCTTGTGCTAAGCCTTTTCTATCCTTATTTTTTAAAGTTTTTTTATTTGTGAAAATACTGTACAGAGGGGCTACAATTATATGAGCAAGGTAATGAGTACATTTCTTATCAAGCATTGTTGCCTACTCCTTTGTTTCCTCCTTTGTTTCCTGCCTTCCCATCCCCCCACCCCCCCAAAGTTGTAAAGTTCATTTTTCAACATAACATCTTGTACTTCTGATTGTTGCAATGGATCCACCTGTATCCCTATTTAAACAATTTGTTTTTCCCTTCCCCTCCACAAATTATACCAACATCAAATACAGTGAAAGCAGGGGTTATACCATGGGAGAGGGACATACGAAGCAACAAAGAAATCATCTTATAAATATGTTAGAAACAATAGCAAGAAAGAAAAATCTTTTTTTTTTTTTTTTTTGTTGGTCGCTTTTCTTGAACTCTTCAGCTCAAGACGAACACTCTACCACTTGAGCCACAGTGCCACTTCTGGTTTTCTGGGTTAATTGGAGATAAGGGTCTCATGGATTTTCCTGCCTGGGCTGGCTTTGAACTGTGATCCTCAGATTTCAGCCCTCTGAGTAGCTAGGATTACAGCTAGGATTACAGATCTGAGCCAACAGCACCTGGCAAGGACAATGACTTTGTACACTTAATTCACTCACATTAATTAATCGTTAATGTATTTGTACATTTTTATTATTTGTATAAACATATACATATGAATATGTGAGCTGTAGTTTTTCTTACTGAACACCTTAAGACTTAGCTGCAGACATCATGATATTTCAAATAAATAATTTGACTTAACTCCTAAAAGAATCATGTATATTTTCCCATAACTATAATAAAAATAGTATACTTAGTGAAAGTTAAGATTGATAACAATTTACAATCTTATATTTGACTCATGTTCTAATTTTCTCTGACACTATTCTTTTTCTTCTTTACCTATTGAATATCCATTCAAGGAATGAATATTATTTTGGAGCCTCTTTATTTTCCATTATTCTAGGTATTTTTTCTTTTATGTTACTGGCATTTTTGGAGCTCCAGCCCAGTGAATTTACATAATATTTATATGATCATTTCCTTACCACCAAATTAGATCAGGCATATTTAATAGATATATTGCATCAATGATTTATGTCTTTCTTAATGTATCATTTTGGGGAATATATAATTTCACTTTGTCCTATTATAGTACATAGTAAATTTTATCAGTTCATTAAGTGGGTATCTACTAGATTTCTCCAACATAAAAGGTACTATTTTTCTTTATAGTTAGTAACTGTCATATAGGGGCTGAGTTTAATGTATTTTTCTGTCTTGTATGTGAAAATCATTGAGCTTACTCAGGACTTAATGATTTAAAAATACTGAGTCCTTTCTGATAATAGTGTATGTTGCGGGGTGGGGGCGGGGGCAGGGAGGGAGGGAATAAAAAGAGAGGGAAAGACAACTCAGTAATTAGATGCAGATATCCATCTATTCCCTTCTAAGGAGACTATTGATTGGTTGAAAGAAATATATTGTTATTTTCTTTGCTAAGGATGGGATTTATAGGTAACCAAATACCTTAATTTTCCATAAAATTTCAATAGCAGTTTTAGAAAGGCTTATATTTGATAGAATATGGACTATCTTTAGACACAACAGTATATTATTTGACCATAGTTTTCCTTTTGCTTTAGTGGGATATGGACAAATATTAAAAAAATACACTTTCTTTGTAAGGTATTTCTCTTACGAAGAGTAAAACTGTAATATTGCAATGTGGTTTAAAAGGGATTGCTGGCCTTTGGTCTTGTGTGCTTCTTACAGCTCAGGAGAAGGCACCATTAGCCATCCAGTAATGGAAAAGAAAAGGTTTTTAAATATACAAATATTATAGGCTACTTTTAAAAAAGGATGAAAAATCATGCCAAGAGAGGAAACCACACTGATAAGTCTATTGCATAAATCAAAAGGGTTTATGTCATAACATGAACATGTGCCATTCCTGCTCATATATTGAATTTCAGTAGTTGGTTGCATAAAGGAGTAAAGTGTGATGAAACTGGCAAGCAAAGTATTCCCCAGTCAGCCTTATCTTTGTTCCATTTGTCCTTCAGATAGAGCTTTTCTTGGCTTTTTCAATAAAATCCATCCAGCTTTTTCTTCTTTTTTCTTTTTTTTTTCTCCCCCTTTTTGCATCTCTCAGTAACTGAGCTATGAAGACCAATGAGATTCAGGGCTTTTATAGTTCTTAGCAGCTGGTCTTTAAGAGATCAAAACTTAGAATGCTGTAACATGGTATTAAGGCTCAACTATTGATGTGTCCCTATTGGGAATATGTTCTTCTTGGGGTGGGCAGAAGAAAGACTAGAGAATAGCAAACAATGACCCTTCAAGCATGTTTAGGAAAGTAAACCTTAATTTCTTTGTTTCCTAGGATCCTCTTTGCAAGCTCAGTGCTTAACCTGACTGAACTGACTGCCCTTCGGCCTGACCTTGGGAAATTAAAAAAGATCCTGTACTTCCATGAAAATCAATTGGTATATCCTGTAAAGAAATGTCAAGAGAGGGATTTTCAGTATGGCTACAACCAAATTCTTTCATGGTAGGTAGATTGTATCGTATTTAGCTCTTTGTCGTCTTTTTCTTTAAAGATACTTAATGTTTTTCAATTTAGAGACCTACTGTACTTTATAAATACTTTAACATAGCTAGCTGTAGATACTTAAACATTCCTTCCCTGGTAATAAGTACTTGTGCTTCTGTAGTATACACAATATCATAGCATGAATACATGAATGTAACAATCTAATTATATAATGAATTATCTAACTATTGTGTACAGCATTCAAAATAGAATCAAAAGGTTGACAAATAACTTTGATCCTTGCTTTCCTGATTTACTATTTAAGGCTCTTCACTTTTAGCAACAGTAGTCAACTCATACTCACCAGGAACTTTTACTGTGTTCAGCCAAAGTTAAAAAAGAAATTTACCAGGCTGGGAAGGTGGCTTAGTGGTAGAGTGCTTGCTTTTCATGCATGGGCCCTAGGTTCCATTCCTCAGCACCACATAAGCAGAAAAAGCCGGAAGTAATGCTGTGGCTCAAGTGGTAGGTGCTAGCCTTGAGCTGAAAAGCTGAGGGACAGCGCCCAGGCCCAGATTTTAGGCCCCACAACCGGCAAAAAAAAAGAAAAAGAAATTTACAATGCTGGATCCTGGTAGCTTGTGCTTGTAATCTTAAGTACTGAGGAGGCTGAGATCTGAGGTTTATGGTTTGAAGCCATCCTGGGCAGGCAAGTCCATGAGACTCTGATTTCCAGGTAACTACCAAAAAACCAAAAGTGGTTCTGTGGTTGAAGTGGTAGAGAGCTAGCCTTGAGCAAAAAAGCTCAGGAACAGTGTTCAGGCCCTGAGTTTGAGCTCCAAGACTGGCATGTGCACACATGGGTGCTTGCACACATACACACAACACACACACACACACACACACAGAAATAAAAATGAAAGCAAAACAAAATCTTGTCCTTTTTTTCTTGTGTTTGTTTACAAGATAGGAAAGAATGGAAAATGAAGCTTTCAATGTTTTTATTTTTGTTGTTGTTGTTTCTTTTATTGAACCTTTTGAAATGATATAGCTTTAAAATACATTTCAAAGGTGAGGGTCTTTTTCTGTTATACCATCCACAAAGTGTATATCCTGATGATTAGTTAATGAAGGAAGTTTAATAACTGCCCTGGTAAAATTGAACCAGTCTGGCAGTGATTGGGTACATTTAACTCACCTTTATTAACAGTTATTACCTATTAGAATTGATGATGTGTTTAAACAGATCGTCAGCTATTGCAAGTGTGCTTGATATTTTGGTTGGCATAGAAAAATAGCTACATGGTAATAATTCTGTGTTTTGAGCATTTTGTAAATGTTTCCCTGCAATCATTTTTACAAGCTGCTTCAATTGTGAAGTAGCAGTGCTATCAAAATAGTGTGGAACTGTTTCACGTCAAATGTCTCATAAAATAATCGTCTTAAAATTTCATAATAAAATTAAAATACTTTATTTTATGCTGAAACAGAGAAACAAAATATGTTTTAAAATGAAAAGAAGCATTTTGTGCTTTATCAATATGGAAAACATTTGTAATATTCTTATGATTTCTTGAATTAGCTTCATTCTTTTCTTCAGATAGTGTGTGTTTTATCACCCCTGAGAAATCACTAGGAAAAAAAAATTAAGCCTATTTTTCCTTTTATGGGTAGCTTTAAAGTTGATGGAAGTTACAACCACTCATATCAGGCAGGAAATGTACCAAAAAGACTATTTCTGTAAACTATCTTACATCTTTAACTTAAAAGCCTAAATTTTTTGAAATGTAAGTAGATGGAATGCATGCTCTTTGAGGGCAGATATTATAATTACGATTTTCTTACTGCTCCTTACTTTCTTTCATTAAAAAAAAGGTTTTACTCATAGAAAATTTGCACTCCAAAAGCTTGCATGTGAGTGTTGAGCATTTCTCTTCTCAAGAGTGTAAACTGATAGACAAGCTAGGAGAGAAAGAAATGGGCTTCATCATCTTTGGCTTCTTAATGGGAAAAATGGTTTACAGTTGTCTAGAGGAAAAATAAGAGTGTCAGAAAGCAATACTGCTCCAGTTCCCCTTGAGAAGTATGACTCCTGCTTCCTCAAATGTTTCTTTAGGTTTTATTTATGTATTTATTTATTTATTTTGCTGACTTCTGATTTTGTTGGCATTGTCAAGATTTCTTCCTGGCTATGTGGCAGTTAAGGACTTTAAGGCTAACTGACATAGGAACTCACCTTAATCAGAGGTTTCAGTAACCCTCTGACTTACGAACACATGTCATAACTATATATTCTGGCCTGTGGGTCGCTATTACAATATGTGGTAAATGATGAAAACAGACTAGCTGTAAAACATCTTTCAACTTTTGGTATATTATTATATTGGTTTCCTGATTACTTACTGTTGTGTCAGCACTTCTGTGACATTCTTTTGTATTATCTGTGTTATAATAACATCTATTCTCCAAATTTATACCAAGAAGCAACAAAAAAGACAAAAAATAAAACCAAATTTGTATATAGCAAATTTGTATGCGTTTTTTTTCATTTTACTAGGTATTAATTATGACAGATATTCCTGTCTCAGTAAATATGATGTAAACAAAATAGAGGATAAGCTAAAATCTATCCTCTCTAAGCTCTACTTATTTTTGTGTATTTTACATTCTTGTTTTCAGTGTTATTCATGTGTCATTTTTAGTGTAAAATAAGATTGTTTTGTCTATTTAATCTTAAATACCTTCTTTTGGAAGTGTTTGTATATATTTATTGCGATCCAGTAACCCTGAATAGTTGATTAAATGAAATAAGATTTTTTTTGAAATCAACTGATTAATTTACTATACCAATATTGTCTCATAAAGTCATGATACTATACATTTAGGTTTCATATACCGCTTCCATGGCTATCATTGTATTTGTTGGTGTCTATGAAAATGTTTTAGGCAACCTATTTTGTCACACTTATGATATAAATATTTGCCGTCATATTTTCATATACCAGTACATTGTATGTTAGTTTTACTTTTATAGTATTAAGGGGAAGAATACAGTCTGTTTGATAGATAAATGATAACATCATCCTTCCTGTGTAGGTCAAGAATTTTATAAAAAGTAACACAATTTCTTAAAGGGATAAAGGAAAGGCTAAAGTAGAAAAGACCAACCAAATAGTACTGAAGATATCAAGGTCGAGTACGAAAACATCTTTGAATTAGTTTTGATGGTGGTAGGAACACACCAAACAGGTGTATATATGAAGATAGTGTACAGAGTGGTTACAGTTACATGAGTAAGGTAATGAGTACATTTTCTGTCAAGCATTATAACTTCCTCCTTTGTGTTTCATCTACAATCCCTTCCCTCCCCATCTCCCCAACTCCTCCCCTACCTCCACAACTTGTAAAGTTCGTTTACAACATAGTGTCTTGTACTTCTCATTGTTACAATACGTCAACTGTATCCTTGTTTCAGCATTTTGTTATTTCCCTTCCCCTCCCCAAATTAGAATAATGTATATAGAAGAGACAGAGCACCAGAATCAAATACAGTGAAAACAGGGTTTATACCACAGGGTGGGGGCGAGGGGGGGGTAAGAGCATACAAAAGAAAGAAAGAAAGAAACAAAATCACATAGTACATTAAAAACAACAATGACAAAGACAAAATCTCTTGTGTCCCTATCTTGGGGTTCATTTCACTTAACATCATCTTATATGGTCATTTGTACATAGTTTTGACCTTTTCTGTTTGTCTGGTAAGATTATCCTACATGTATACTAGTTATTGCAAATAAGGGAAATCATGGGACTTATGTTTCTTTGGGTCTGGTTTACTTCACTTAATATAATTTTTTCTAAGTCTTTCCATTTCTTAACAGTTTTTTCTTAGTAGTATAGTGTACACCATTGGAGAAACTCAGTGAGAGAAACTGGGCTACTGTCCTTAGTGTTGTTGATAATATTGAAAGATCTTGGCATCCTGAGGAAATATGCTTTGTTTTGAAGTCTTACATAATTTCCACTAAATTGTTTAATTTTTCTGTTACCTTTCCCAGTAGTACCATCAACCTCAACTTCCCATGATACGATATTGACAACTAACTTATCCATTAGCATTGGATTGATAGATACTGATGGGAACTACAGTATTTATTGTAAACTTAAGATGCAGTGTTAACTCTGATTTGCACACAGGCCTTAGGCTTGTAAAGTAACTTGAAATGAATCTGATCTCATCATTTGTACTTCTTGTTTCCATTTACAGCCTAGTGGCTGATTTGGTGGTATTCAACTCAGTTTTTAATATGGAGTCATTTCTCACTTCTATTGGAAAATTTATGAAGCTGATTCCAGATCATAGACCCAAGGATCTGGAAAACATCATCAGACCCAAGTGCCAAGTTATTTACTTTCCCATCAGATTTCCTGATGTGAGCAGGTTAGTGCGTTCAACTCTGTTTTTAATATTGTGGCGTAAATTATTTCTCTAATGTATAGAAATTGATATTCTTGCAAATTTTAACTTTTCATCATAAGCATGGTTAGAGAATAGAGTTTGATCTCTCTATACTGTGATTTTCAGATTTTTAAGTTATCACATGTCCAACCTCAATGGGTAGTTCAGATACTGAGTTCTTCAGCCCTTTGGTTTTTAACACTTACTGTTTGTTTCTTATTTATAGTTTTGTTAGACAAATCATTGTCTAGCACATTTCTCTCTTTTTACCTTTAGCTTAGGCCTGTTGTTTCAAAATGCATAATAACTCTTCTAAATCAATTAATCTTATTTCATGGATAATTTTAATTTCTTATGCTGCATTCTTTTTCTTTTTCCTTTTTTGTTAATATACTAATATATTATAAATTATTTCAATAAAGAGGTAAAACTTCCAAATTGAGTTGCAAATGCATTGAATTGCCATTTCTTTTTCTTAGTACTAAGGACATTTTTATTACCTTTGATACCAGGCCCACCTTGAATTACCAGTGGATGATGTGACTCAAAGAGAACATTCTGGAATTCTTTTTCACTTTGATTAAAGCTAGGAAAACTATTATTACTACCAGTAACAATATTTCTTTCTTGTGAGTAGGAAGTATATTCAGTGGGACTCACACTATCTGGGCATGCTAGTATGAGTATAAATGGGTCCTTAAATGGAATTTAGGGACAGCTGTTTCTTCCCTGTCTCTTAAATGAAGACTGTTTATGATTTAATGTCCATGCATGACATGCAAGAGGTTAGCATTAATTTCTATGTTCTACACTTAATTCACCCAGATTTTGCTGTAGGGGTAGAGTCTTTATGTTTACCAAATATTGATTTATTGGAGTGTCTCACTAGTTAATATTTTACTAAAAATTCTGCTCCACTTGGAGCAGACCACTTGGCCCAATTCTTATTTATGGATTACAGAAAACAGAGGCTCAGAGAAATAGAGACAAGCTTGCAGTGCTTGTCATTGTCACAGACTGGATTAAGTTTGGCTATCTGACTTATGATTTAAGTTTCTGTTTACTGATAAAACTTTCTATCAATATAGGTCATTTATCAATAACCTTAAATAATTTACTTTAATTTTGAAAACTATGAACTAAAATAATGAAACCAAGATCACAATCATTTTTAAATACCTGTGTGTATATAAGTATGTATATATTTCAGATGTGTGTGTGTCTGTGTGTCTGTGTCTGTATGTGTGTGTCTGTGTGTGTATAGTTATGTCTTACTGTCTGTGGAAGATTACTTCCATGTCCCTTCCCCTAAGGATATCAAAACTTACAAATGTTCAAGTGTCTTATTTAAAATGGTGTATATTTGTATATAAGCTATATACATTCTCATATATTTAAAATCATATCATTGTATCAAATACAATATTAGTGACATATAAAAAGTTGTTATAGTTAAGGAATAATGACCAATAAAGTTTGATATATAATTAGTATAGATAAATATATAAATATATAAATAAATAAATATACATCAAAAATAAATAAATATACATAAATAAATAAATATACATCAAAAATATTTATGAGGAAAAAGATTTTTGATGTATATTTATTTATTTATGAATAGGGAACCTATGAATACAGAGGGATGACTATATGTAATGTCTGTCTATGTCTATGTATATATATATATATATATATATAGTATTATATGTGTATGAACATAATATACATTATTCTTATGTGTGATGAGAAAATTTGAACTTTTGAAAACTCTACTTTTTTTCTTTTTTAAGTGCTGGTCTTGGGTCTTGAACTCAGGCCTTGGATATCGTCTCTGAGCTTTTTTGTTTAAGGCTAGTGCTTTGACACACTTTAGACACAGCTCGATTTCTGGCTTTTTGGAGGTTAATCTAAGATAACAATCTCACAGACTTTCCTGGCTGGGCTAGTTTTGAACTATGATCCTCATTTTTCAGATTCCAGAGTAGCTAGGATTACAGGTTTGAGCCAGTAGAGTCTGGCTTTGCTTGTTTTCGTATCTATCAGAAGTGAAAATGCAGTTGTGTATTTGATTTTTTTTAATATGAGCTTTGCTTGTTAAAGTAGGTTTTTCATGTAATACTTAGACATATGTATATCCTTAAGTGAATGAGACTTATAGCTCATCTTAATTATTGCCGCTGTAGAATCAAATAAACAATATGTTTTAGAATTCATTTGCATCAGATATGCTCCTACAACATCATGTTTAATACACCTGTGGCAATTCAGCAGCTTATTAATTTAGAACATATTATCATAAACGAGTCTAGCTAAATAGAAGAAGGTTAAGAAATATTGTGGCCCAGATAACATTCATAAGCAAGGTCTTAGCCCAGAGTGTTTTTTGAATTATTTTCAAATGTTAATTTGCTTTGTACAACTCGAACTCATATAGTATAAGTGATTATTTGCATGAATGACAACCATTCTAATGCCTGCAGTTTAAAAAGCATATTATTTTGTTGAAATGTTGAAAAATACTTAGCAATTCCAAAGGCAAAATAACCAAGGTGATTAAAAACAACAGAAACTTTGGATTTGTTCTATCTTTCTTCTTACATCACTTGGTCATGGCAAAATGGATTTAAATAAAAATGAAGTAGAGGGTATATTGTTAATTAATTATACTATAATCAAAAAAGAGAAAAATGTCTTATTACCTGCAAAATTAGCAAACTAATAGATCTCTCACCTAAACAATGAACAATATGGGACTTGTAAAACCTATTACTACCTTTTGTTTTTCTTACCTCTTCCCTGTTTAATTACTAAAGACCAGAAAAATAGTGTCAAATGAGATTATTCACTTGAAGTATTTCCTTATAGGTATTAAGCATTTGGGGATGAGAAGGCTCTTAAGCTGTGACCAAATATACAAAGATTTGATTCTTGACCTACACTTACTGAGATCTGTGCTGGTGGACCTGAGCCTAAATTGTTTAATAGTTATGGTTACATTCACCTTTTTTCCTCAGAGAGGTGACAGGATAATAGGAATGTTTCAGAACAGAAGAAAAGTGATAATATAGAGCCAAAAGAAAAAAGAAAAAAGAACCTGTAATAACAATAGTTGTGCATTATGGAAGATGAATGGGCACTGCTTAAGCAGTGGAGATGGTGCTTTAGATAGAAGCAAGGTTTCATCAGTAGTAGCAATGTGAAGATGAAGCGTAAACACCCAGAAGCATAATTGAGTGGAATAGTGGTGTCGACACATAAATGTTCCTTTTTGAGCCATCCCTGGTGGCTCATGCCTGTAATCGTAGCTACTCAGGAGGCTGAGATCTGACGATCATAGTTCAAATCCAGTCCTGGCAGTAAAATCCAAAAACTGGAACTGAAACAGTGGCTTGAAGTGGTAGAGCACTAGTCTTAAACAAAAAGAGCTCAGGGACAGCAACCCGGCCCTGAGTTCAAGTCCCATGAGTAACACCAAAAATAAAAGTTCCCTTCTGATTACAAACAGTTGAAAATATGCACAGAATGCTTACTATTGGAGGTTTCCAAAAGAAAATAAAGCATTATTTATTATATAAAATAAAAGAAATGTAAAGCCTGGTGACAGTGATTCATGCCTATAATTCTGGCTACTCAGGCAGCTAAGATTAAGAAGTTTTGAGGTTTGAAGCTAGTCTAGACAAACAAATCTACAAGATTCCTATAGTAAAATGACAAGTGAGAGCTGTACCGTAGTTGAAGCCCCAGTCTGAGTTTAAAAAAAAAAAATTGTGTGTGGTTAATACCTACTTGGACAGCAAGCACAAAGGGCCTATGTGAAGATAAGAGCATATAGTGAGAGCATTCCAGTAAGTACAATTGAATGCTTTTCTCTAGTTCTTTTTAGTTTGATGAGTACAAGTAGAATGTAAGTGAAAAAATGAGTTTAATTAGATCAAAGGGGTTCCTATTAAATGTGATGCAAATTATGTAAAAGATTGGAGATCAAGTGCAATATGGTGAATATAATAATGAAATGTAGACATTAAGCTGGAAATAAAGGTGAAATAGGACAATAAAGAAAGAAATTGGCTCAATCTATAGATAATTATTACTAGTGAGATCAAAGAATTGCTTGAGTCAAAATGATAAAGAAAATAAACAGAACTCATATTCATCTAATCTTTTGGCAAAATTGTTCTCTGTCTCTTTCTCTTCTGTCTTTTTCTCTCTTTAGTGCCCATCCTGGGCCTTTAACTCAGGGCCTAAACACTGTCTCTGAGATTTTGGGCCCTAGGTAGTGCTCTACAACTTGAGTTACAGCTTCATTTTCAGATTTTTTGGTAGCAAATTGGAGATAAGGGTCTTATAGAACTTTCCTGCCTGGGCTAGATTCAAACAATAATACTCAGATCTCAATCACCTGAGTAGCTAGGATTACAGGTGTGACCCATTAGTGCCTGTTGATATTTTTCTTAAGAACAATACTTACCACTTCCAGTTTTATTCCTAGTGTTCTCTTAAAGCCTTTGGATGGAATTTGTTTGGGTGAAGGGCCTCAGTGACTTCCATGCTTCTAAATTCATTGGTCAGCTTTCAGTACTCAGCTTTCTTAACATGTCTTGACAGCCTTTAAAATACCAGGACACATTTTTAAATTGGCTTTTAAGACACACAATTCCCAAATTTTTGCATAGGTTGCTGCTTTGTTCCTGATTGGTTCCCCCTTCTCGTACTCATTTCTCAATGTTGAATACCTTGTCACTTGTCACTTAGGAGCTGACTGAGGAAGTGCCCAAGACTGAAAGAAAATCTGAAAAGAATTGTCAGTGGGTCAATAGTGAGATATGTATTCTGTAAATCATAGAGAAAAGAGTTTTAAGATGATCAGAAGTAAATTTGAAACATTTGGATCAGAAATAAGCTTATGAGTATTAAAAATTATCCTGAAATTCACCAAATAAATGTTCAGTAGTACCCTGCCCTGAAAATTTACAGAA